AGGAGGAGCGCAGGCAGATGATTAGACCATGCCTTTAAAAACCTACGTCTGCGGTAAAAATTTACGTTTTTAATGTAAAAATGATAGCGCGCTTGTCGATTCTCACTTCATCAAGCGATGAATCACTCCCAAACATTCGTGGCGTTTACTTTATTAGCAACAACTTTAAAGTTTTAAGTGACACCCTCGGTATTTTTTTACTTTATTCGACAGAATATGACACTCTCAACAGAATGACATATCATATGTCACCGTTTGACATTTTCGCATATTGTTTATTTGAAATTGTAACATGCGGTTTATAACGACAATTTGACTCGGAATACCAAGTGTGTGGTATCAAATTATTCAAAAAATGCTGTTTCCAAATAAGTTAACGAACTAGCCTTGTTCCATTTGAAAAAATTGAAATATGATTAAAAATACGATTTGGGCATTTTTTAACCGGCCAAGACAAAAGACAGGAAAAATTTTAGACGATCAGATCTAGTTTTCCTAGGCTCCTTGATTAAAAATGAGTTAAAAACACCGCCATGGTGGCACTCTGGATTGAAATTTAAAATATGATTGTTTTGTCAAAAGTTAACATATGATATGTTATTTTATTCAGAGTGTCATTTTCTATCGAATAATGTAAAAACATACCCAGGGTGTCATTTAAAAATCAAAAGTTGTCGTCATTTCCGGTGAAACAGGAAGTGACCAAAAACAATTGAATACGTCAATCAATTATAATTTATGTCATATACTAACATACCAAATCTCGTTTTTTATATGAAAAAATAAAAAAGTTATAGGGGTAAGCCAGTTTTGAGACGCACCCGGCATAGAGATAAAATCAGTAAATAATCGTAGTGAGCATATTATATTTGGAAGATGTATGTTTGGAAGGTAAGTATGTAGTATAATTTTAAACTAAAGCTCTAATTTTTTCAACAGCTTTATATTTTATTTATAAAAATTATGCATATATCTATACAGGGTTGTTCACCACATACGACACGGAGTATTGTAGCTAAACGATTAGATTTTTACAAATTCTTTGGGTTCATTGAAGTTCAAGTTTTGGGGTCATTGAAGGACTATTAGAACTACAATTTAAAAATATTTTTGCAAGATACAGAGTGTCCCAAATAAATAAAAAATATCAAAGTTGTATTTTTTTAAATGGAACACCCTGTATATTATTACATTTTTAGTTTCTGCGATTAAAATAAAAATAAATTTGATTAAGGTTCATTACACTTAAACCTTACAGTTTTTGAAATATTTTCAATTTTGCGAAATTGCAGTAAAAATTTTAAGGCTTCATTTCTCCAAGGGTATCAAAGTTTTTAATAATAAATATTTACTGAAGTTTATTTATCGATCAGTTATTGTGTTGCAATAATAAAAATAATACTACCACATACAGAGTGTCTAAAAAAATATTTTAAGTAATTTCTAGATTTAAACGCCAATAACTTCTTTAATTTAAATGAAACGCCCTGTATATTTTAGGAGAATCAGATGCAAAATTTAATTGTCTATCAAATTGTATTATACCATTTTTTACCTATCCCTCAAGTTTTTGTGGAAATTGCATTTTCTTATAATTTAGACCTTATTTATCAATATACCCATGGAATATTGACATTTTAGACTGTTTTTATCGTTTTTAGCAAAACGATAATATTACTAGCCCATTTGTATGCAAAAAGAAAACTATTTAAATATTTATAAAAGAGTATACCATTAATTACATGTAACACCATTATTTCCGCCCAAATATAATTATATACTTAATTGTGTTCGTTAATAAATTATTCTAAATAAATGTGGATTTGAATCAGAAACTAATATAATAATAAGTTATGAAAATGAACGTCTCTGTTGTTATAAATAATCATTTATTAAAAAATGAAATATCATTTTTAAGGTGTTACTTTTTACCACACTCTCTGATACACATACAAAACTCAGTTTTTTAGTATTTAGGGCAATTATTATTAATCAACGCAAACAGTCAGTTAATGTCAGGGCGGGCGGAAGGGCCGGGCGAACCGATGAGGGGCGCCATGACAGCAACTAAAAATATTTAAAAACAGTAATCTAAACAAATAGTAACGAATATCCAGTTTAATAATTAATCGGTACTGTCAATTTCCACATTAACATAGCTATTACCACACCACATAGGGAAGAATATCTGACTAAACCTTATAAACACTATACTATATCCTAGATGTATCCTATTATAATTTACTGAAATTATGCTCAAAAAAATCCTTAGCACGAAAGCTTTGGGATAGTTTTGATTTCTTCTATTCTATATGTTTTTTGAGTGGTCTATCCGAAACTGGGATTTGCAAATTCATTTTCGTGGAAGACTATTAAACAAAATTAAATAAAAAAATATAAATCGGATTTGTTCGTGGCATTTTTATAACTCAAAAGCTAACAACTTTTTGTAAATAATCCTTCTTTCTATAATTCTCGTTTTTATAAATTTTTAAACAATGTTTTGGGTCAAGAGCCAGCAAAATTAACAGTTTTAGACTGACCGCTCAAAATTGCACTTTTTCTACTTCCACACCCTTTATTTGTTATTAATGGCTGATATGCCCTAAAGTTATATGCGGCAAATATTCATTTGCAAGAAGCTGAAGAGGATCCTGATATCCTTATTACCAAAAAAAAAACTTATAAGTTTGCCTCATTAATTAAATTAATTTATTAATAGTAGTGGGAAAGATATCAATCTTTTGGTGGTTTTGATTGTTCTGGATTGAATATGTAGTAATACACTGAAAATGGTAGCAAAATCGTAGAATTTTCTCATTAGAGGAATCACACAAAGATAAAAAAAGTAAAAAATAATACTCCATCTCAAAAAATCTAAAAAAAAATCTCTCTCTTAATGCATCTCAAACATTGGCTGCTCCTCATTTTGCAGCAGACAAAACTGTCTGATCATAATTCATAATACTGATTCTGCGCTAAATATGTAATTGTTTGTGAAAAAGAAAGGAAAATTTTCTTAAATTCTTAATAATAAAATATAATAAAAAATAATGCAACTGCTTGCAATTAAATACTGTTATGTTTTCAAAGATCACTTATACCAGAACGCGATTGCCGAAGTTGGAATTCTATTTCTTATGCTCTATATACCGAGTGCGTCTCAGAAATTTCTCCCCCTATTGTTTATTTTTGACAGCCCTGGCACTATAGATTAAAATTTAAAATACGATTTTTTAAGCGAAAATGTCAAAAGTTATGCCATTCTACTAAAGAATGTCATTTTCTTTTGGAATAAAGTAGAAATATACCGGGGGTGCATTTAAAAATCAAAAGTTTTAGTCATTTCCGGTCAAACAGGAAGTGACTAAAAACCATTGAATACGGGAATCAAACGTAATATATGTCATATACTAACATACCAAAACTGGTTTTTTTATCAAAAAAAAATAAAAAATTTATAGGAGTGAGTCACTTTCGAGACCGGTGTAGAAAAAACAACAATTGCAGACTAAGATTGAATGAAGAGAAGAATTTTGAAGTATCTTTAAGTGAAAATTTATTGTTAAAGTAGCATAAATATGCTTAGTTTGTAGTTAAAGTATAGGACTGAAGGAAAAAGAGAGTTATAATAACTGTTAGGGGGGGGGGGCGCCAGATAGGGTACTCGCCCGGTCTCAATATTTTCTTTCCGCCGGCCCTGGTTAATGTAGTTTGAATACTGGAATCATATTAATTGGTCCTCTTTAACAAATATTTAAACAGTTTCTTTTAATGAAATAAACGAATTATATCGACAATATTAGTATTTGTACTCTTTAAAAATTTGGTAAATCTTTAAAAATAATCGAAAATGTCAATTTATATTTATATGTTATTCTATGGGTATATATATATATTGATAAATAAGTTCTAAATTATAAGAAAATGCATTTTTACGGAAACTTAAAGAGATAGGTAAAACATGCTATAATACAATTAGATAGACAATTAAATTGTGCATCTGATTCTCATAAAGTATACAGGGTGTTCCATTTAAATTAAATAAGTTATTGCCGTTTAAATCTAATAATTATTTAAAATAAATTTTTAGACACTCTGTATAAGGTAGTATTATTTTTATTATTGCAACACAACTGATCAATAAATAAACTTTAGTAAATATTTAGTATTAAAAACTCTGATACCCTTGGAGAAATGAAGCCTTAAAATTTTACTGCAATTTCACAAAATTGAAAATATTTCAAAAACGGTAAGGTTTAAGTGTAATAAACCTTAATCAAATTTACCTTTATTTTAATCGTAGAAACTAAAAATGTAATAATATACAGGGTGTTCCATTTTAAAAATACAACTTTGATATTTTTTATTTATTTAGGACACTCTGTATCTTTAAAATATTTTTAAATTGTAGCTCTAATAGTCCTTCAACGAACCCAAAACTTACAATTTGTAAAAATCTCATCGTTTAGCTACTAATACTCCGTGTCGTATGTGGTGAACAACCCTGTATACAAGGTGTTTCAAAAAATATGTGCTATCTCTCGTGGGGAGATTCCTCAGGTAAAAATAAGATTTATTTTTCACATCAACACAGGTCCGATTCTGCTTTGTTTCGTAGCTACAGGGGGTTAGGCTTTAACCCCCCGAAAATATTTTTTTTTGATTTATTATAATTTTAAAATTATTAAAACTTTAACAACCTATATGTAGCTACGAAACAAACCAGAACCGGACCTATGTTGATATGAAAAATAAAAATATTTTTTTTAGTACGTTTGTACACAGTAATGATCAGTTGGTTAATTATAATGACTAAGCTGTCGCAAGAGTAAGAGAGATTCAAATCAAAAAAATGAAAATGTTCAGTGTTGTTGAAATCGACGATGTTTTGATAAATGATTTCAACCAATTTCCAAGATAGCTTTTCAGTTGAAAAAATAAAATTTTGATGTTTGTTCTACCAATTTAAATCTGCGATTGAAATTTTACATACGTACCTGAACCAGAACTACGCTTTAAACCTAGAATAATACCGTTATTAAAAATCATATTTATACACCAAGCAAATATCTATGTTTAACGAAACGGCGAAAATAAATTAAAGCTAAAATAAAAGTCAATATAAATATTTTTGCGAAAAGCAAAAAGTAATTTGTGTGCTAATAGCAGGCGAGCACGTAGTCATGTATTTGATTAAATTCGATTTATATTCTAATAATATTCGTCCAGGAATCTCTGATTCGAATTATTATATTTTTACTAATTTAGCGCTTTAACTTAATAGTAGCCAATATTTGTTAATGTAGATAAAAGAACTATCAATAAAGTTAAAAAAGAAATTTGTTTGGTTTCTTCGAAACAAATACAGCATTTATCTTTGATAAAAAATATGAAATCCAAATTATTAAAAAGTTTCCTGTTATATTTTCATAATCAACGGTCGCGATGAAAAAGTGAAGCTTCATTCAGAACCTCCCAATTAGTGGAATAAATTAGTGGTTTCAATTACACTTTATACTTTTTAGTTTACGATCATTCACAATGCCTAAAAAACACAATTAAAATTAATACAAGGTCCTAGCAACAGCTTGCGGTAGTCTGTTGTATCCATAGAAAGCGCATAATATTTAGTTTATAAAACAATAAATTTTGATTTCCAACTAAAATTTTTTCTTGACGAATTGATAATCAAAAGGCCAAAATGACATTTCTCACCAAATTTTTGAGAAGTATAATTAGTGGAAAAGTCAATAATTAGGTGTTAACTTTTTCACTTGGAAATTACTACCACTAATTATAGCGTTCTGAATGCTTACAATAAAATTAGTCGTAGAAGTTTCTTCACCTAATTTTAATGTAAGCATTCAGAACGTTATAACTACTGGTAGTAATTTCCAATTAGTGGAAAAAGTTAACAAACTTTTGATATTTCCACTAATTCAAAATTTGCGAGGAATGTCATTTTGGCCTTTGATTATCACCCGTCAGCTTCCCATAGGAGATGCAAGACCTTGTCGTTGGTGGGGAAGCTCCTGGTCATGTGCTGGGGGGAATCCCCTCTAGCACTTGGCTTGGTCTAAGAAGCATCTCACTCATCGTCTTGTCCCTGACTGTAGTGTCGTGGCCAGGGAATTGCACCAAGACATATAACGATACCGGGCGGGGCTACGGACAGCCTCAATCTTGGGACACCCCATTGTATTTTACCCCTTACTTCTACATGCGGGGCTCGGTAGAAGTGGACCGACTGTCCCTAGCGACTCATGGGAACACTATGAGATCTGGTAATAATAGTAATAAAAACATCACCGGTGAAGCTGTGTGGAAACCCCCTAGCAACACTGGGAACAGTAACAATGAAAGTTCCAAGGGGCCAAACCCAAAGAGAACTACAGGAGAGGTGGCTGACACTTGCGTGACACCATCCTCTGCAAGTGGCATACAAGTTACCACCTCCTCCAAGGGTCGAGGGCCTACCTCCTACCTCTAAACCCAACAAGCGACACAAGCTACCGTTTCGTCTACCCGGCCTGGGTCGTAGCTCCTCGACTGTGAGGGACACGGGTCTCCGTAGGAAGTCCTGGGACTGTATGATGAGTTATAACTCAAGAAAGGGGGACACAATAGATTTCTAAGGTCGCAGAGATTAACCCCCCTCCCACTTATTCTAATTCTAAATCACCCGTCAAAAAAAAATTTAGTTAGAAATCAAAAGTTTATTGTTTTATAAGCTAAATATTATGCGCTCTCTATGGATACAACAGACTACCGCAAGCTGTTGCTAGGACCTTGTATTAATTTTAACTGTGTTTTTTAGGCATTGTGAATGATCGTAAACTAAAAAGTATAAAGTGTAATTGAAACCACTAATTTATTCCACTAATTGGGAGGTTCTGAATGAAGCTTCAGACTTTAAAAAAATAATTATTACATAGGTAGGTATGTAATTATTTTAAATAATTTTAGACTGCTCTGTTTCTATTATTTATTAGTTTTTCATATTTTTTTGTTATTTTTTATAAAGAAATATGTTAATAAATTAAAAGTAAAACATTTTATGGATTTAGACCATGTCAATTTGAGTCTGAAACTCGATGTTTCGCCCACCGTATAAAGCTTTTATAAGGTAAGAGAAAGAAAATTATTTCGATATAAAATGTTACAAACATACAAGGACCTAGCTGGACATTATAGGAGAAAAAAAATTGGTCAAGTGCGAGTCGGACTCGCGCACGAAGGTTTCCGTGCCATTCATTATCCATACAACATTAGACATTATATTATTATAAACTTTTTTCCGATTTAGTTGAAATTTTTAATGCGCGTATAAGTAATTTAAAAAAAAATGAAGAAACACATTACTAAAAATTGTATTAATCAATAATAAATATGTAAAAAGTAAAAATAAATATGTAAGAATATGTAAACATTAAAAAAAAACGATTAAAAAAAGTCGCCTTAACTAGGATTAAAACCTGCTTTACTACGGCTCCAACGTCATCGTCATAGCAGCGTAAAGTCTTAACGCTTAAACCACGCGGCCACCGAGGACTTGAAAGATTCTATGTAAAATTCTTACTTAAAAGATAATGTTTAGTGAAAGTACTTTTTTACTTATAAACATTTATTTAATTCTGTTTTTAATATTTGTTCTTATAGCGGCAACATAGATACATTATCTGTGAAAATTTCAACTGTCTAGCTATAACGGTTCATAAGATAGACCTTTGTGACAGACGGACGGACGAACGGACAGCGAAGTCTTAGTAATAGGGTTCCCGTTTTTACACATTGGGTACGGAACTCTAAAAAATGATGAGCACAGTATGCAAACCATATTTGGAGTGAAAATCAACTCTCAAGTACCAGTCAAGCGAACATGGTAACTTTGCTACTGAACTATATAAGTACTGTCGGTTGATGGCAGGCCAACAATTACTTATGTCACGACGAAGTAGATTTGTTTAAGAATAAAGAGTATTAATTATAACAATTAAACAATAACAACTTCTCTGGAATAGGCATATTAAGAAAATTACCAGCAAAGACACAAAGACTCATGATATGTAGAAGACTAACGGGAAATAGATGGGGCTAGGCCCCTAACATTTTGCATTACCTATGGATCAGTTGCTTGGTACACAAAACTAGAGCAACGTACAGCAAGGCAAAACCTGTACAAAGTAAAGAGACTAGTCTGCATCTTCATAACAGGTGCCATGAGAAGATGCCCAACAGCAGCAATGGAGGTCATCCTAGACCTAATACCACTGCACAATGTCGTCGGTAGATATGCCAATGCGACAATGATTAGAATGGTCATTGACAAAAACACTACTGGGAGAATTTTCAGGCAAGGAGATTGGAACACCCTCAAAAAGAAAATCCAGTGGATGACATACCAAGAATGTACAACTTTGGGAAACAACTCATTGTAGTAATGAACTATAAAAATGATTGAAAGAGAGAAACGTTTGCTCAGTATGTAAAAGACTATACCATAACGTGATATACTGCTGATTCCAAACTAAAGCAGGGATAGGGATAGGAGTATTTGGGCCGAAAACTAAATACTCCGAACCAATGGGCACCTACCCCAGTATCCTTTAGGCAGAAATCTACGCTATCCAAAGATGCGTACAATTTCATAGGTACCTACCATTTCCATGGTAGTACTTTAACTATCATGGAAATACTCCGTATGGAAAAATCATCAAGCACTCATAGAGAACTACGATAAATTTGGGCTGGGTCAAAGGATATGGTAACCAGGGGGGTGACAGTAAACCGGAAAATTGAAAACAGTTGTGGCGCGGTTCTACCCAGGCAGAAAGCATGGCCTTCTAGACTGTCCTAGACAAAAATCTGAATATTTCTATATGATTTCTGTCAATTTCTGCTACGGAACATTTTATGCACGTCGGCGTCCTGTTCTTTTGTCTTTGTCTGTGTGTCAGCGTCAGCTCCCGAGGCCTCTGGCAAGGTCGGGCGCCATTTTAATTTTTGCCGTTTAGATTTGATTGGAAGTTTGTTTCTGATATTTCGGCTGAAATTTATAAGTACAAAGATGTTTTTTGATATAAAGTTCCTTGTTAACACTTTAATAAAGTATATATGATATTAATTACATGAAGAAAATGATGAAATCGACGTTTCGGCGTGTAGCAGGTATGGGCCATATTATAGGTAAAAATAGGTAATATATTAACTGTTTTTATATTTTTTTAGCTTTAAACCCAAGGATCTTGGGATATTCTTTCAAGGATTTTTCCGTATCTCTACTTTAAAGACTGATCGGTGATTTTGAGCAATTGAAAGCAAGTTATACAAGGTAAATTATGATTATTGAACTATTATTAGCCTACGTTAAATTTCTACAAGATGAACAGAAATGCGTAATTACATATCACATAGGTACCTATTATGTATTTTCATAGCAATAATGCTATAAATCTATGTATGTAGATTATTTTTAAAATACAAATGAGGTATTAGATGTATATGTATCATATTTTTTATTCATTTTATTTTCATTCAAGTCCTGTTTGATTTAATTCACAAAAGTCTTATGTAGGTACCTATATTTATATTTTTTACATATTTTTTTTGATTCCAGGTTTTGTGTGGGTTCCGGTTGCCTTTTTCCTGCTTCCAGTTATTTATCCGTGAAGCTGTGAAAACATTTATTTATCTTCAAGTTTCTGTAAGTCAATGCACTGTTACTTTACTAATTCGCTTTAACACAGCATCTCTGATATTATTTAAATATTTAATATTGATACAGTAGTTTATTGGTTTATAGCTCTTTAATTGTGTTGATTTGCATATTTACATTGTTCTAAATTCCAAATAAATATTTTTGAGTAATTTTGTTGTATTATTTACTACTAGAAAGAGTAAAAAGTATATTAACCCTCATTTAAACCTCCCGAACAGCCCGCCATTAAAAACCGGAAACGGAAATAAATTTTATAAAATTGAAATTGTCATGTCTATGTCATGTCAAATGTCCCAGCCGCCATATCTGAAAATTAGTTACCCAGGCAGCCACGCTGTTTCCATAATTTAACATTGACTTGACACTTCTTCTTGTATTTATTATTTTATGATGGTAACCCGAAGCCTGGTAACCTGATTGTTACTACTGAAGAACCCCTTTTTGAAAGTGTGTAAAACGTCGAGTTTCAAACTCAATATGACACTGTCCAACTTATTTACCGACGTAACTAAGTAGTAACCGTAGAAATTTACTTTGGACATTCCTTCAATTTGAAGTTCTTCTATTTATAATATATTAATTCCAACACAGACAATGAAATTTAACATCCTTATATATTTTTTTGTAACGTATACCTATATTATAGATAATTATTAATTCTCAGGATAACAGGATATAAGGAACTTACTGTTAATGACATTTTATGAATTCCATTAACCTAACATTTATTTATTATTGTTTCGTATTTAATACATGCCAATGCTTTCCATGTGAAGTGTCAAAATTATGTGGAAACAAGTAATGTGATGGTAAGAAATTTGTTGTAAAACAGTGCAGCAAATGGTGACCCATCACTCAATTTCAGGGAGTAGCGCTAATATACTGAAATTGAGCCCACTCCAAGCAATTACATAAATTTACATTTAGATGTTTATCGTTTGGCGAACATCAAACTTACTTGTATTATCAGAATCTGAAGTGGGGGTTTCTGTTTTATGAAAATAAAAAAAATATGTTTAAAAAAAAATAGTAAAATATATATTTAAAGCAACAAGGCAAAACAACATTTATAGAAACTAACTACTTGTCATTGTGCAGTAGTTCAATTGCTTAAGTGTCAATATATTTATACTAGGGAGTTGTCAAAAAATTAGCGATGTGTAAAAAAATTGATTGAAATATTGCACAGTAATAAAAATGATATCAGAAATAAATTCTTCATTTCGATAATAAAATATTATTTTCAATATTCGAACATTTTAGATATAATATCATTAGGTATACGGGGATTTTTGTGTGTACGAAGAGTACGGTCAATATGATCAGTACAATGAGATGGAGATGTATTGAATAAAGAAAGTAGAACAATTATTTTGCAAGCGCATGAAATCTAGCGTCGGATTAAGTGGTTATGTAATAAATACTGCACATAGTGCACATTTTTTCTCTCTGACTTACTAGGCCGCCATAATGATTGACAACTAGATAGGCAAACACCGACTCGAGACTTCGCTTGCCAATATTCAATTAGTCATCATTAATTAAAATGTAATATTAAAATTCCTAAATTGACATAAACTTTATTATACTTATGTATGCAAAAATTAGAAACACTTTTAAAACAATACAGGGTGTCCCAGAATAAGCGCAGATATTTTAACTGGTGGTATATTTCGGCGTAAGAGCGTTAAAAAAATTCAAATGGCTGTGCTGGGTGTAAAAGACAATCTTTTGCGCTCCACGAAAGGTGCGAACTGCATCAATTTTCGGTAACGCTTGGACTACTCTAGTTGAATGGGAAAATTTATAATATTTAAAATTAGTCCTACAAATGTAATAAGAAAAACAATGTGTGGATAAACATACGAAAAAAAATTAATCTAGATTTTTGTCAAGCTCAACATAGATGCCGTGTGTGCGCTGTATCAAAATGTTGCGTTGTTGCCACCTCCTACATTATCCATATCCAACATATTATTTGTATTCACTGTAATTCTAAATTTGTACACAAAAAAATACGAGAATTAATTCTAATCGTATCAGTGTCTATTTCTAACCATTCCAGAAGCAAACCATATGAATTATTTTTACGCATGCCACATTTTATATTTATTTTTAACTACATATACTTAAAAAATAACTCTTAACATTGCCATATTACGAGGTAGTTTCAGTTAAAAAACATTCTTTCAAATATTTTGTTTGTATACTTACCCATTTAATGAGAACCAAACTGTGTAAAATTATTCTTATGAAGGTTACGAAAATTATGGTTATTCCGCAAAATAACTTTATTTAGAACTACATTTAATAAAATAATTCACCATATTATTCATACTGAGATCACATCAGTCCAGGGATTTCAGATTTTACTAATTATAGCATATACATACTTCTTTTGACTCTCTGGCAACACAGGGCACCGAATAAGCTGAAAAACCTTGTGAAAAACCCTTAAGAAGTGGTTCTCAAAATGTTGCCATTATTTTTTAAAATTTTCAAAATTAAATAACTTGGTTATTTTCAATTTATTTAAAAAATGGTAAAGAGAAAGGACGTTTCTCTTGATCAGATCTACCACCCCTTAAATACCTGCACTTATTTCTGGGACACCCTGTATATTATAAATTTAAATGTATTTTCTCTTAGGGATATTTATTTTTTATTTGATACAACCATATTTATCCATGATAAAATATAACATATGGAGTCATAGTCAAATTGTTTACACAAAAATAATAATATAGAAATAATTGTGTGTCACAATTCAAAATAAAATATACTTGTGGCAACATTTATAAAAAAAGTTTACCTCTAAAACAAAATTATAAACTGATTTTCCAAAAACAACCCTTTTCTGGACTCATTCATCACTTACATCAGGGGAGGTATGTAATTCTGTTTGATACGTAGGAGGTGGCTTCATTTATAAATTCTTTCCTCTCATGAATGATGGCTAGTTGATGACTGATGAAAGTTTTATATGAATAAAACATTATATTAATGACGATTCACAAAATAAATTGATTAAAATTGTTATAATAATTTATCAGCAATAACAAGCAGATTGTGTAAATATTTGTCTTTATTAAGAAATATAGGTACCTAATAATTAAAAGTATGGCTATATTTGGTTCTTCTAATATAAGCATTATATGACCAAAAACATTTAATATTGAAGATAATTCAATAAAATAATTTCAGAAGGTAACATTTATTAGGAATAAATAGCAATAATGTTATAAATATTTATGTTCATTCATCATATAATTTTGAAACAGACAACACGATGTTCTATCAAAATGAAGATATTTCTGACATCACAGATATTTCTTTTATTTCAGCTTATTTTTGAGGATACTCACTGTTATCTGCACGTTCTTCTACATAAAGTTTCAGGGATCCCCTCAATGTGGGAAGTTCGACGTTGCCCGGTTGATGAACAATATTGTTGCCAGGTCCTAAGTTTTGAACCGTTTCGTTAGCCTTAGATAATTGCTTGATTCTTTCCATGGTGTATGGTACGTCTGATATAACGAGGTGCCGTTGTAAAGTAGTTGTAGCCTAGATGTATTAAAAAGATGGTTTTGTTGTACTATCGATAAATAAAGAAATAAAGATTACTACAAAAAAAAATATATTTTCTGCTCAATAAAAATAAAAAATAATGGATAAAAATTATATTGAAACTGTTAAAGATTGCTTTATCCCAAAATTTCATCTAAATTTTGACAGAATAAAGACAATAGAAGTAAAAAAGAAGGTTTTCTAAATACCATAGTACTATCTCTTAGAGTAATAAATAAATCGTATAATTAAAATGTATAATATTATACAGGGTGGCGCACCTCATTCGCCTCGGTTGATTATACGATATAGAAACAAAATATTTTTGGGTACATGTGGGGAGACAATGTGCACAATTTAAAATTATTTTGAAATATACAGGGTGTTTTAGAACTAAGATCCATACCAAAGTTATATTTTTTCTTATGGAACACCCGGTATTTTATTTCATTTTTGGATTCTTGGGCCCAAAAAAGGCATTTATTATAAGGGTTAAATATGTTTAAAGTCTTTAGTTTTTGAGATATATAAAAATATTTAAATTTGCATGCTACAGTAGAATAGACTATTAACACCCTGTACATTACTTTTCAGAATTAATTCTTATGCTGAGTTTAAACGTAGAGAAATAAACTTTACTGAAAAATGGTATTGGTTCCTTAAATTTATACAGGGCTATAAAAAGTTGCTGATCTATTTTAAAGATATATTTTATATAAAAACTTCGTTATTTCAAATGCAACACCCTGTTTTTTTTTTAAATAAATCGAAGCAGATTTAAATGCTCTTTCAAACTATATTAGTTTCCTATACCTATCTAGACCAGATTTTGAATAAAAAGCCATTTTTAAATAAAATTGCAATCAAGATGGCTGGTATCGCCATGACAATTTTCTAGTGACAGTAACTATTTTCAAAGTCGACATTAGTTTATGGACATTATTATTTATAATTTATAACAGTTTACTTAAATTTACCTACAATAGTTTAATAAGTAAGTATTCATTATTTTATCAAGAAAAATAAAGCAGAATCTGCTTTATGTTACTAGTGATATTATTTTGTGAGGAAAATTGCCTCTTGGCCGCAAGGGCTCAAAGATATCCAAATAGGAATCTGCCTGATAAACGTTTCTTTGAAAAACTTCTTGTTCTATTTCGCAGAGCTGGTAGTGTGGTTTATAAAAAACCTGTTAGGCTTGTAACCACCTGTCGTTGGAAGTGAATAAAATGAATGTGCCGTAAATGGCTAATTTATAGACAATCCATATATCTACAAGTCATCGTAAAATAATTCAAAGAACTACTTCTTCGTTTTTCTTGATAGAATAATATACACATATTTAATAAATATTTATTAAACCATTGTAGGTAAATTAAATAAAAGTAAACTAGTATAAATTTAAATAAGTCCATAAACAAATTTCGATTTTGAAAATAGCTACTAACTGTCACTAGAAACTTGCCATGACAACACTAGCCATTTTGATGACAATTTTACTGAAAAATCGCTTTTTATTCAAAATCTGAGCCAGACAGTTATAGGAAACCCTAATATAGTTTGAAAGAGCATTTAAATCTGCTTCGACTTATTTAAAAAATACAAAGTGTTGCATTTGAAATAACGAAGTTTTTATGTAAAATAAATATTTAAAATAGACCAGCAGTTTTTGATACCCCTGTATACATTTAAGGAAGAAATAACATTTTTCTGTAAAGTTTATTTCTCTACCTTTAAACTCAGCACAAGAACTAATTCTGATTAATAGTCTATTCTATTGTAGCATGCAAATTTATATATCTTTAAATATCTCAAAAACCAAAGATTTTAAACATATTTAACCTTTATAATAAATACCTTTTTTTGGGTCCAAGAATCCAAAAATGAAATAAAATACCGGGTGTTCCATAAGAAAAAATATAACTTAAGTCATTTGATTTTAAGTCTCTTTTCGAAAGCTGACTTAAGATTTAAAGTTTAAGTCATTTTCAAAATGATTTGTGATTTAAATCTTTATTCCCAAATAGAAAAAGAATTAAGTCATTAAAAAAGGTATTAAATCTTAAATGTTTTAAAAGAATATTTTTAAATTGTCTATTTTTTTGGTAGATTGCGAAGTAATCCGACTTAAATTAAAAAAGTATGTTAATACATTGTTGACTCGTACATGCTCTCGAAGTTGTCATAATTCCGTTATCGAACAACATATCAGGTTTCAGGGTTTATTGTCTATAAATTTAGGATCTAAACATCAAATACAATGTTGAAATATTGAAGCAGCACGTAATACATCACTTTGGTATTCAAGCGGATGGTCTGATATTTTATACAATGTGTTACAGATGGCAGTGGCGTGCTTTAAGGCAAGCAAAAAATATTAAAGTTAAGATACTTTGATATTTTTTAGATTTATGTTTCAGTGATTAAATATCCGTTTACCCAGTGAAAAAAGTACGCACATTGTACTTATTATATTAAACTAAATCGGATTAATGTAAAAGAATATGGAATAATTTTACGAAAGGATAACACAGTTTATTATTATTTTGAAGCTATTAGAATCAAAACTTTTAGCTTAAGTTTTATTAGCATTAGCAGTTTTAGTTATTTAACAATTAATTTAACAAAATGAAGTGTTTTAGAGTATATAAATTACGATGTTTTTAATAAGTTATCCGATTATATTGGTTAAAAAACATCTTGTTATTTTATTTATAGCACTGATATTGCTAATTTAAGAGCTTTATGGTATTATATTATGTATAGGGTGTCTCATTCTGGTTGAAATCATACGGTATCTCAGTTATTAGTAAAGATAGGAGGATGCGGTTTACACAAACCTGTCCCATTTTTTTGTCAAACGAAATATGAGCTACAGGGTCTTTTCGAAAACTTTGTAATTTGCGAGAGCCCCCGTATCTCCGTTATTGTGGCTGATATCGAGAAGGTAAAAACTGATTGTTGGAGAATTTTTTACGTAGAATATGTATATGCGTAGCCTATTTTTCTGCGAAAAAAATATTTTTGAAAATATGAACTAAAGTTATATTTTTTCAAATGGAACACCCTGTACATTTAAAAAACATATGATCCGTCCTGCTATGAACTTCTCAAAAATATATATCACTCAATATTTATTTTCACTATTTATTGCAATATTTAATATAAATCATTTTTTATTAGTAGGCTATGATTAATAACAAAAAAATTAAAATAGTATTTACTAAAATAGCGATACACATATTAATATTTTATATGGGATTGATATATTTTACTTTTGAACTGTTACCACTGAATCTCTGAATATATTTTTCTTTTTTTTTTAAACGGAATTTATTATAGCAAAATGCAATTAGATTGCATTATTAAATCATTTTCCAGGTGATCGACATTGTTATAGTTGCCACGATGTACTTCATATTTCAAAAATCCCTAAAATCAGCAATCGAGAACGGATAAATCCGGAAAACAGGTAGGCTATCATATGGGTCCATTGGTTCCAACTCATTGATTTGAGAAATAATAATTTATAATTTAGCAAAATTCTAATATTTTCAAAGTTGTGACGGGGGTGCCCCATCTTACTGAAAGTATATTTCACGTAAATTAGCTAAAGGAATATCTAAAAGTTCAGGTACGATAGTCTCCAAGATTTACAAATAGCGGTAGAGAGTTATGTATCCCTAAATATAAAGAATTTATTAGTGACTCCCAAAATAAAACAAGAGGCAGATACCAGTATACTTTCATTAGTTTTGTTAATTATCAATCATGGCCTACTAATAAATATGATGTTTTAAATATTGCAGTAAATAGTGAAAATAAATATAGAGTGATAGATATCTTTGAGAAGCTTATGGCAAGCTAGATCATATAATTTATAAATATACAGGGTGTTCCATTTAAGAAAACATAACTTTAGTTCAAATTTTTTAAAATATTCTTTTCGTAGAATAACAGACTACGCCACTGTATTCTACGTAAAAAGTTCTACAATATACAGTTTTCACTTTCTCGACACCTTTGACCATAAAAGAGATACAAGGGGTGTCCCAAATTGCAAAATTTTCAAAAAGACCCTGTAGCTCAGAAACAAAGACGGCTATGAAAATTTTGTTTACGGCATCTTCCATTTGACAAAAAAGTGGGACAGATTTGTGCAAACCACCTAAAACCCTTCTATCTTCACTAATAACGGAGATACTGCATGATTTCAACCAAAATAGGTCGTCGGTGGAATTGGAAAATGTTTCTACTAAAATATATGTAGGGGTGGGTATAGTTTTCACCTTTCCCGTACTTTTTCTTGATTTTTGTAAAAGTCGAATGTTAAAGAACTTGGCAAAACATAAGAAATCCAAATTTTATTCAAATACGGTTCTTAAAATATCTTAAAAATGTGTTTATTTTTTTAAAGTTTGATGCCCTCTAACTGACAAATAAAGCACTTTTGTATAGACGTAAGACCACGGCCGTTTAGCGTTTTTAGCATTTTGCGTTTTTTGCGTCTCAAGCGCTTTTTGCGATTTTACCGTTTGAAGCGTTTTTTTCGATTTGTGTCTACTAAAAACACGCAAAAGACGCGGCAGGTCTGCAGTTTCTATCAAGGTGTCAATTAGAAATGTCGCAAGCTCGTGGATTCCCGGCCCGTTCAACAATCAATCCTGTGAGAAAGAGATAGGCGACATCGGCGCGGTTAGCGTTGAAGAGACGAAGATAAAATATGCTGGGATTGAATTGTGGACGGGCCGGGGCATATATTTGGCAACAAACACAATCTACTGCTAGTGCTAGTGGTGTGTATAAAAATAATAATTATTATTTGCCATTTATTTTACGAATTTTAGTTTATATGTATATAGTTTTTTTATGTTGTAGTGTTGTGGTTACTTGTTATAATTATAATATAATATGATAAATAATTATAATTATATAATAGTTGATAAGGCAATTTTAAGGTGATGATATATGAAACTTTTTCCAGTAAAACTTCTTTACGCGCGCTGGGAGTAAAAAATCAAGGCCATGACATACGAGCTATGACATTACGCAAAAAAAATATATTTTACGTGTGAAGAAGTATTTGTTACACGTAAAAAACTAATTTTTACGCGTCAAAAACTTATTGTTCCTTGTAAAAAACTTTTTTACCCCAAAAAAATTACGTGTAAAAAACTATTTGTTACACGTAAAAAACTATTTTTTACGCGTCAAAAACTTCTTGTTTCTGGTAAGAAAACTTTTTTGCCTAAAAAAATATATTTTTTGGTGTAAAAAACTATTTGATCCACGTAAAAAATATTTTTTACACGTTAAAAACTATTTGTTTCTGTTAAAAAAACTTTATTACGCAGAAAAAAACACTTATTACGCATAAAAACTATTTTTTACGCGTAAGAAAATATTGCGTTAATTTATTACTTTTTCAACATTTCAAACTACACTTTTTCAAACATTTCCTTCAAATTTTTGAATTTAATAGAATCTTCCTAAACAGTAGATGTTCTCTAAAAAAATATTTTTAAATAATACCCTAAAATGAAAAAATGCATATTATTTAACTTATTTTTATTGTATTATTAAATATAACGTCCGCATATGACGGGGTCCCATCTTAGAAATCGCTAAAGCCGCTACAGAAAACAAACTGATTTGTTTTCATTCGCGTTTTTTTGCGAGACACGCCGAACCCTAGACGCTTTTGGTCGGGCCACTCCTATATAATCCTGTTAATTTGTTTTAGTCACTAAAGACGCTTCACGCAAAAAAACGCTTTCTGTGTGGCCGTGGGCTAAATTATGTCCAATGAACTTATTTTGAATCCAAAAATACATAAGCGGCGGCTACACGACAGCGACTTGCCTGCATGGTATAGTTTGCGCAAACTAGAAGAAACGCTGTGCGGTGTCCACACGATGCAAGTAAGAGCGTACATTCATCATTATTTTTATTCTGAATTTGTGGTTCCGTTGGTGGAAATGTCAAGTGACGAATTATTGTTTTTTTTGCTTACTATTAAAGAAAAAAACAGCAAAATAAACGATATAGATCGAAGTGTAACAAGCTAAAACAAAAAACGAACAAAAACAAAAAACGAACAAACATTTTAGAAATTTGTTAGTACACCAGAGCTTTTACGATAGCTTTGTACACATGCAGACACATCACGTAAATATCTTAAACCCTATTATTTTTTAAAGGACGAAAGACAAGGCTTGTTTAAATATTTAAGGGTTCTTTGCCTTCGCCTTCCCTTCATTCACTGACTTACGTGGTATGCGAAATCCCTCAAAAAAGTTTCTTGATGGCGGACGGCATTACGACCTTAGCGTCTTCCCAAGCTTTGTTGCGCGGAACGAAATAAGTAAACTTCTTGTTTAAATCGTTAAGTTGGTTATTGAAGCCTTCCTGGTTACCCAAGTACAAAGTGTCTCTGAAAAAAATAATAATAAAATTAGTTTAGACATCTACCTTTATACATTTAAATTTATACATCTAACATAGTAATGTCAATTAAATTATTTAATATAGTTGGTAATGTGAGCACGAATAAAGGTTTATTTTGTAACTAGTTTAGCCCTAAACAAATACTAATATTTTAATCGTTTCTGCGTAAAACATATTTTACACAAGGCACAGAATAAATTTTAACAACGCCAAAATTATAATGAAAGAAGCGTAAATAACCTCTAAAAGAAAAATAATAGAGGCTTTTTTAATACAATCTAATAAAAATAAATGTATTGCTCATGCATCTGTAGATGTTAGTAATGTATGGCAATCGCTTCTTTGATTTTAAAGAACACAACATAAATAAACATAACATACGTAAAAATTAAAAGCAAATTAAAAATAATCATACAGAAAGTTTGAGGCCTTTTGGTTTTACTCGTACCTTATTAAGTAATTGTTATGAAGTAGTAATTGTTAATTTTGAGGTTTAACTTGATATAATGTCATTTTAACAGAACGTCAACGGTTTTTGTAGACGTATCTGTTTTAAAAAAAACTAAAGTGTTCTCGAATAGTTGCATTTAAATATTTTACATGGTTTTTTCTTTATTCTTTGTATTTTTTTTTGCTTCCGACGACGGAAAGAGATAAACTTTCCGAAGCGTTAAGCATTTTTTTGTTCGTAAGGCAAATTTGTTTATCTGTAAACCTAACTGCTGACAAGTAGTTTCCGTTGGATTAACGCAGCAGTGTTTACAAAAAATAACTATTTTATTTTGTATATTTTCTTGCAGTGGCAAATACCCATATATCATTTTTTTGAGGGATGTATTTTAGATTGAAAGACATGTATTTTAGTTACACATATACTCGTATTCAGTTAGGTAGTAAAAATTTTAATTAATTTAATTTTATGCCAAATCTTTGCAGACGATTAAGTTATTCTAGTAAGAGATCGGATAGAACTGATATCGGCCACCAAAATACTTGAAGATCAAGCAAAAAGTAGGTTAGTGTTTAATGAGAAGAAAACTGAGTTAATGGTGTTGTCAGATATAGATTTTGAGAAGGCAAGATAAATAAATTCTGAGGGGGAAACGATACAATTTTGAGAAATACATAGATTCACATTATCTTGGATCCGTGTTTATAAGAACATCAAATTTAATGTAACCCAGGGCATTATGTCAAGAATAATGACAGGAAATAATAATGGATTTGTAAACGCACTACAAAGAATTACTAAGAGCAAGAACATCGTCAGAAGTTTAAAGTTAGAATGTACTAAACAATGATACGACCAATACTACTATACCGAGTGGTGCATCGTCATTGGAAGCCAAGTCAATTTTGAACTGTTCAAATATTGGCTCCTCTATTAATTTTACAGCTAAGTCGTAAATAGGTTTAGCGAACAATTTTGGGCAAGCCGATTTTAAGTACCTAATTTAAGAAAAACTGCCATCTATTTTTAAATTAAAACTGAACAGGTAAAAACAGGCAAATTTTGTCAATGTCAAACTATGTTTTCTAAATGTTAGGCTTTCGCTCATTTAAACCAGTTCTAAATTATAAAAATTATTTTCGGGAACACTAACAAACGCAGTAGGGTAGACAGCACAAAAATTGGATTTGAGCGCAACATTTTTAGGTTGACAACTTAAGGTATGTGGACATTTGATAGGCTTTGCATTTTTACCTGTTCAGTTTTAATTTAAAAATAAATGCAGTTTTTTCTTAAATTACTTAAAATAGGTTTGTCAAAAATTGTTCAAATTTGGTACACATGCCAAATATGCAGATCTTTAAAAAATATATTTACAAATTAGCTGTATAATTAATAGGGGAGCCAATATTTAATCAGTTCAAAAATTTCATGGGATTTCCTATAAACATTTTCGGAGGAAAGAAGTTAAACAATGTGACAGACCAGAAGAACAAACGAAGAAATAAAGAAATTATATCGTACACCGTGTATATAAGAGAGTAGCAAGAGCACAAAGACCGAGATGGCTAGGATATGTTGAAAGAATGGCAGAAACAAGAGTTCCTACAATGATAATGGGACGTGGAATAGGTGAAAAGAGAAGGAGGGATAGACCGAGAACCAGATGTGAAAGGGATGTTGAAGGGGACTTGAGAAGGATAAAGGTTAATGCGTGGAGAATAAAGGCGAAGGACAGACATTAGAGGAAACATATAGCTAATCAAGTCATGAAGCTTTTACTCTTTTAAAGCTATTTTTTATAAATAAAACTATTAAATAAAAAGAACATTTATTATGTGTTTGACATTGAAAAAAAAGTACTATTTAATGCAGTCAAAGAGTAGATAAGACAAGAGACGACAGTTCGCGCGGTACCTTTCGGAGTGGTGGGGAGAGTGACCTCGTCTCGCTTGTCCCTTTAAATTTTCGTAATTTTTTCGCGGGAAATTTGAAATAGACTATTATTAAAACTTGCCTGTATAGCTTATAAATAGTTACTGTATGGGTAAAGAAATAAATAGAAACGAAAAAAAAATGAGTTTTCTAAATATTATATAAAATAAATTATTATTAGAAACATATTTGTCGGGGAATAAAGATAATAAAAACAATATTTTGTATATCGTTGGTAAACAAGATAAAGTGACCAAGTCGATTTGTAAGAAATGTTTTAATTACGTGTATTTTTTTACATATGGACTTGAACAAGTGTAAAATCACAATGTGGAGTTTATGTACAAAAAAATAGAGTTGCTCAATTTTTTTGTAAAAATATATTACAAGCTTCTAACCATGTCTTCGATCTATGGATTACATTTAGTTTAATAACATAATTATATAGTATATTTCTATAAAAATACTTTTCAGGATCCTTTGGAAAAGAGTGAAATATTATGTTTGTCGAAGAATAAGACCAATTATTGCAGTCTTTATAAGCACACACGTTGCCACCATCTCGTCTTTTCCTGCTACTCGTGTCCTGTTCAGTATTCATATTTAACAATATTTACAAATTAGTACGCAACAAAAACGATACTAAAATTAAACCTTAAAAACTCTCAAAACGATAATATATCGAAAAACTCTGAAACACACTTTAAAAAGGCAAAAATGCAAGAAAACAACTAATCAGATTTGTTTATGTTGAAGCCTGATTAGCACAGCTGATTAGCGTCCTAAAATCATAGGTTAGATTAGATAAAATACGCCGTTGTCAGATTTTGAGATTTTATCTGTTTATCTTTGAAATCGATCAACTTAGTCATTCTGTTTCTTTGATATTATCAGTACATTGCGAAAAAAGAACTTAAACCAACCTAAACTAAAAATTTACATTTCCGTATTAACATACGTTACTTATATCCTTCTTATATTATTAATTTACTTTCAGAAAATCTTGTTTATTTTTCAAAGAAATATACTTGGCAACAGACAAAATGGGACTTGATGGGACCTTTAAATTTTAATATATCTGCGTCTCTCTCGCGAAATTCGACTTCTTTGTTCACTGTCGTCTCTTGTCTTATCTACTCTTTGATACAGTTCTAATATATAAGGTTCCCCATTTAAAAATATCATTAATATGGCATTCCACGGAGAATGCCTTTTTGATAAATTAAAACTTAGCTATAAAATCCAATAATTTGTTTTTTAATGAATTCTAACTCGAAAAATAAAAAAGTTATTGAGAGTTAAAAAGTAGTATCTAGAAAATTAAATAATAACTCTGTACAAACAACATAGGTTATAAAGCATATTCAAAGAAGTTTCAGAAATGGATGTAAAACTTAAATATAAAGCTTAAAATATTGATTAATTTATATAAAAACTAACTTTATAGCACGAATGTTAAGGCATATTACATACTTTGGCAGGTTTTTTAAAACACTTCTTATACACTCAGATGAAAAAAAAAACGCAACGGAAATTTTTTCTTCAAGTTTAAAGTGAGTTATGTGACCATTCCCGTGAGAACCGGCGTATCATCACCCTAGTCCCAGGAATAGACATTGCAATTCAGCAAGATCGTGGGAAACGTAGTTTACTTTTTAAATCACATTGTGTTAATAAATCATTCCTTGTTCTGTTGTCGTACTGTACACTAGCTTCTAAGTTTTTGAAAATAAATAAATTTTTAAAAACGAACTTCTGCCATCGTACGATTTAAGTGGCGCAGTCGGTAGGATTACACGGTAGTGCTTTGTTTAAAAATTCGACTGTATATCGAGAGAAATTCTACTATCCCTCTGTTTAAGGCCGTCAATACGAATAGTTAGGGCAAATTAGATTTAGTTCAGCCTATAGAAGGCAAAACAAGTAGAAATAAGAAAAGAAAAAACAAGACGAAAGCTATTTCAGAGAAAATAGGAAGTAAAATAAACAAATAAAAAAGTTTATTGATTAATTTTTAGGCTAGGAAAAATATTATTTTATTTCAGTAGCGCAAAATATTCAAATCAAAAATATTTTATTTTTAAGAAACCGAAATTTTCATTTTCATTCAAAGACGCAAGTTTGAATAAAAGCTATAATTTCAAAAACACTTTATTTTTAAGTAACCGAAATTTTAATTTTGATTCAAAGACGCAAGTTTGAATTAAAATTCATTGAAAGGAATATTGTTTAATGTTATGAGAACAATCAAATTAAACATTATTTTAATAATCGTTTTAGAAGACGGGAGAGTAGTAATCATTAACGGACAAATTTTCTAAAAATACGAACAAATTTTCTAAAAAGAATTTTTACTTTTTTGAATAAACTTTTGTTTTTCTGAAAAAAAAATACTTTTAATATATAAACAATTTAAGTGGCACAGTTAACATCTAAATAATTTAAGTGACA